AGTTCTTTCGGCCACAGGGGTACGATACTCGCCGGTATAGACGGTACGTCGTGGCTTCGGCGTCTCCTCATCGAAATTCCAATCATCATCAGACAAGTAGGTGGAGATAGCATGTCCTCTCTCGGTAGCAGGTACGAAATTGGACGTAGTAGCATCTAACAGCCCCTCTGATGACTGGGTACTAGGAGCGGAAGGAGCTTTAACAAATGGAGCTTTTCCGATACATGGCTCTGTAAGTGTGGCTTCAGAGGCACGAGCAGGACACGATGCACTGCGTTTTTGAACAGGCACAGGTATCGCACTGCGATGTGTGCTGGGAGTCTGCATCTCTTTTCCCAGCGAAGATGGCCCTGCCGGTGTTCCGAGGTGGTAGCTAGCCATCGGGATCCGAGAGCGCTTGTTACTCTCGATGGAACACGAGGTAGAGCGAGAGGCCGAGGCTTGACGTCTCTGAGAAAGCAACAAGTTTTCTTCATCGTCTATGATGGTTAGTCTGATTGCCTTGTGAATGGGATACAGTCCACTTACCATGATTGACGTTCCCGCATGGACGTTCTGACTTACTCTCCATGGAAAAGCTTTTCATGGATGGTGCAATTTCATATGCCTCTATCAAAAGAAAGAACAGTTAGCATGAAAAAGACGTGGTGCGATTAGTAGAACAAGCGTGAAGGGTCATCGTGTTGCGTCTCAGTCATAGAGATCTCTCAGTTATAAATGCAACACTTGGATCCAAGGCAGCGAATGAAGCTATCGGGAGAAAGAGCTTACCTTTCATACCTTCACTAAAGGTAGTGCCAGATGGCCCGGTGTAACGTCTTTCAGGAGTTTGAGGATCCTGGAAGGGATTCTGAAATGGAAGCTTGTCGGCAGCCATCCTGTGAAGGTTTGTCTTACGGTGGTGCAGAGGTTTTTCCCTTGCAGAAAAGCCGGAAGGTGGAATGATTTTCAGTGGGGATACAATGGGAGATCTTTCTTGTGATAGCGGAGAAGGTGTAGGGATCTGTTTGTCTTTTGACAACGAAGTAGCAGTGGTGAACGTTTTGAGTTCAAGAGGACAAGGAGAAGTAAGATGATGAGAAGGTGAAGCAGAAGAAGGTGATTGGGAGGTGGGATATCTTGCGTGTTTTTCACTTTCGTGTTGCTGCGTGGGGACTGGGATTGTGTTCTCAGGTGCATAAACAAGCCAGTCCCAAAAAGCTAACAGAGACGAGCGCACGCTGTCCCCTCTGCTTGAATCCACTGCCTGGCGGGTCCTCTGCGCTTGGCCTCCAGGCGACAAAGCAGTCACGTTTAGGTCACTGCTGATTGAGTGCTTAGAGTGTCCTTGTTCAGGTTCAGAAGCTTGCTTTGACTGGATCTTGTCAGTGACAATCTCTCAAAAAGCCCTACACATAGCGTTTACATACATTTGAGACCGGAAGCAAAACTGAACGATGCGGCAATGGCAGGTCTCCATGCGTCGAGATTCTACCGGTGCGTCTCGGATGATGCCCCTATCATCATGTTAGTTGCTTGTATCTCATCACATCTTCCAGTGACTGACCTTAAGTTTCTTGATCAATTGGCCTCGTCTTCGCAACTTGCTGACATAAGAACCTAGGCTCTGACGCAGACTCTTCTTCGCAGGAGATCTGGGAGGAGTGTTGCACACGTTCTTCACAACCTTAGTCCGCGGGTCTGAGACTACCTTCAGTATGCCTGGCCTTGGGTCAGATTGCGACGCGTCCTTCCAATGCGAGGAACTGGGGCGAGTGTGACTCTCTGCTTCAGGAGTGTGGTTCACTGTCCAATTAGGAGATTGTGGAGGAGTTACTGGGCGTATAACGTCACGCTCCACGGTTAAATCCTCTGAAAATCCAGCGAAAAACGGAACACCGCTGTCCTCGAAAACAGAATCAGGCGGACTCGGGCAAAACTGAGCTCTGGTTGTCCCTTGATCCTCTCCTGAGACACTGGGAAGCACAAGTGTGGACACAGACTCGTTGTCTTTGAGTTCAGCTAATGGATGCATTGTCATGAGCCTGCGGTATATAGCCGGCGTTGGTGAGCATGTGTCATATGGGTTAGAGCCCCGTAGGGACCTTGGGTTAAACATGATGCACGTATGCCAATCCCAGAGCCAGATCACAGGAGAGACACCAGTCCTGCGTCCTGGTCTTGCCAAGGCGCGAAGCCTCTTCCTGGATTCCGATTGGGCTGTTACTCTATACCGGACTCAGGGTTAGCATCTACCTGATATCAAGATGAATAACTTCAAGAATGAGATGCAAAACATGACCGACATGTTTCGCTCTTCAACAAAACCAGAGAGCTACAAACCTTCACGCTAGATGCGTGCAGTCAATTTTTGAGGTATACAGTGCACTCGCCAGAGAGAAGCTTCAAGCCCAAAGGAGAGTTTTGTTGGATATGTGTTTGACGAAGGGTAGCAGGGTACGTTGATAGGTATTTTGAGGAACTTCGGATGAGGGGGATGAAGAAAGAAGGTGAAGAGAAGAAGAGATTATGATTGCTGAGGTGACCAAGTGAGAGACAGAACAAGCTCTCTTCACTGTGTTGTATTCAGAAACAACCCGTTACCCAGTTAGGAAACGCGCGAGGTTTAAGCCTGGACGCCTGAGGCACAAAGCAGGCACTGCAGGGCATATCAGGATATGTCAGGAGATCTATCAGTGCTGTACTTGGTGCATTATGCTTTGTCTATGCTACAGTGCTGTTCAGCGGTGTAGCTCTTTGACCCAGAGCTGTTATAAGACATAACGGGATCTATGCTTGGCAGGCACTGCAGCTATCCATGATGACTTCTCCGTATCCTAACATAATGCAAGATACAAATAGTACTAGAATTGTTAAGGTTGGTGTTGACACAGAAGGCTTTCCCACGGATATCCTTGTTAATGTGGACATCTGCTCTAATTCCTTTCTGCATACTATGGATTTTATATAAACCAGGAACGTTAACAAGAACAGTCATTTACTATGTACGCTACCTTGAGCTATTGAGCTATTGCAGTTCAAGTAAAGTAAATCTTCTTAGGAGCAGAATCTATAGACCGCGTTTCCGTTTGCCTGCTTGAAGGGGCAAACCGACGCCAGCCGGTTTCTGCGCACCAGTCGCATCGCTCGACCACTCGCTAACTTCCCACTCGACGACCGTCGAGTGGTCGTCGCTAACACCCATCCCACGCCTCGCCTTCATCAAACGGCCCAACTGGCTACCTTCGATCATTTCCTCAAACCACGGTATCCCACCGAAGGTGCCTTGCCTGTAGCTCCGTGAGAGACCAGACCCATCGCCCCCCGCGGCAGCGGAAATGACTACACGAGACGGAGTGGGACGGTCACTGGACGCTGTCGCCGGAACAGCAATCACCTTGCCTTCAGAATCGGGTTCCTGCTCCGCTTCTGCCTCCTCCTCCTCCTCCTCCTCCTCCTCCTCCTCCTCCTCCTCCTCCTCCTCCTCCTCCTCCTCCTCTTCCTCGTCCGCGTCTTCCACTTCACCCTCGCCAACTCTAGGCCTTTCCTCAATCTCGTCGTCCTCCTCTTCATCCTCGTCATCAGAAGAAGGGACAGTTGGGGGAAGCAAATCCAGATCCTCCAGCTTACGTTGATGTTCGCCGAAAAGACTACCCAGAGACACACTCATGTAATCCGCCTCATCCCGGGGCACCTCGCTCCAATATGTGAGTGGGGTGCCGCAGAATCCGCAAAAGACCCGCTGAGTGTGAGGCGCATGGTGCGGGGAGAAGATGCGTCGGATACTTGCATGTGTTTCATCGGGAAAATAGGATTGCGTGTGGGATTGGTACCAAGATAGCGGAACGCGAAGCCATGCCGTCAACGGTGAGCCCTGGAATCTACCTGGAACGATGTCAGTATTTATCCCACCAAGAAGCTATCACTTCATCCGAGACGGCACAAATTCCAAAATAGCGCACTGCCGCAGACCGGGAAAACTTACGGTTGTCTTGACTGGAGTCAAAGTAGACGTGGGCATGGTCGGTAACATCATCAGGCAGACGAATCAAATATTGATTGCGGCCGCATTGGCAAGATCCGCGTAGTGGTACGTGCTCAGCCATGGCTGCTGAAGCCGTGTGCGCCGTTGATAAGGTCTATCTGATTGTAGAAGCCTTCACGTTGAGACCGTAGCGCGAGTATGAGGTCATACATATATTGGAGATTTTGGGGTCCAACCAAACCAGATCAATTGCTGCAAGGTTCGCAGTCAACGTGATTGGGCTGATGGCGGGAACGACAGGAGGGATTGATGCGCTGGGCGACGGGGGGAGCCTTGAAGAAATAGGCATGTATCGAGGGGCTCTGAGAGGGTGGCATGGTGAAGTCCACAGTTAATCTAGAAGCAGCCTGAACTATCGATGACGTTTATCGGCTGCCCGTGGAGACATCCGGAACAATTGACCAGTTGGCGCTCTGCCGCCGGCCGAAGAATAGGTCAGGGCTGGTTCCAGGCCCCCAGGCACATAACTGGCTTGTGCCTGAGGAACGAACAACCAACCCAAATGTTGGGTCTTCCTTCTCTCTTTCCTCCACCGGTCCAGGTCCAGCTCCATGGTCAATTTACCTCTGGGAGATCACCAGAGACATATCTATTCAAGGGAGAATAAATCCCCAATCGTATCCATTCCGCATACGAAGGTCGAGCTCACTTCAACTCCATCATCATCTAGTCGACTCGAGTCTGTACTTCCCCACGGGTAACTACTGTCTTCCGTCGCAGCCAAGCCACAACCGCCCCCAGTCCGGCAGTCCGTCACATGAAAATCCGACTCACCCGCACACGCACATGATAATCTCCTTCCCCCACGAACCTCAGGACAACAAACAATAAATCGCGTATAACTCTCTTACACCAATCTCAGACATCTGACATCTGAAACCCAAACTGCAGCTGAAACAAGAACTGAAGGGGGAAAAGAAAGAAAGAAACTAAACCCCCTGGAACCCTAAGAAACGCATAACCCCCCTCCCCCACTATGCCATCTGCACGCCCACCTGCCTCCCTGGCATCCAGCTCCTCCGAAACCTCCTACTCCCCCTTACCGAATAGCAGCGCAACGGTACCCCGCGATGAACCCGAGGACCGGTCCCTTTCCACCACCCCAACCGGCACCTCTGCATCCAAACCCACTGCTGCTGGCGCGCAGGAGAAGGAGAAACCGCGACTGACGGAACAAGAGAAAAAGAACAATCATATCGCCTCGGAGCAGAAGCGCCGCGCCGCGATTCGGGAAGGGTTCGATCGTTTGACGGAGCTTGTCCCTGGCCTGGAGGGGCAGGGGCGCAGTGAGAGTATTGTGCTTCGAAAGACGGTGGATTTCATCCAGCTACAGCTCCAGGAGCGACAGGAGTTGGTGGCAGAGATTGAACGCCGGGGCGGGCATATTGACGATGCCTTTCGGGTCTGACCTACGTGGTTGACTGACTGTATATGAGCGATGCTACTATTGATGACGATGACGATTACGATGATGATACGGGGAGGGGGAAGGGGCATGATTGTGAGATATGAAGCAGCTTCAGCTTTGTTGGATATCAGAGTCTGAACATCAAGGAGAGGAAGGTGCAGTCTGGCACTGCTCGCTTGCTCAATGTTCCAGTGCGATGCTATAGGAGAACTTGGTTGCACATCCTTTCCGTTTGGCGCTTCAGGGTTTGGTCGCGCCTACTGGGATCTCTTATCACATACGACACTTCTTCATGGGATGAAATTGTATGGTGTTCGGCGTCAAGATTGATTCCTAGGTTGGCTTTGGGTAGGGCATTGACGCTGTGGCTCACAAATGAGAACCGGTGGGTTTTTTGTGGCATTTCCCAAAGGTATTTCTTTTGAGGATACGGCTGTTCTGTTGCAGGTCGACAGATTGCGGAGACCATAATATGTCCTTAGTGCAATTCAGAGCGAATATGATTATCTTACAAGAGCAACACCGGTGAAAGCGAGAACTCTCTATTCACTCAATGACACACTCACTTACAATACTACGCAGCATGGGAGATCGCATTTAGATGTGACACAACTGAAGTGTGACAGCAGCCTAAGCAGCCAGCCCCTTGCCTGTTGCCTGCATTGACTGATTGATAGGCCCCCTCTCCCTCCCATCCATCTGCCGCGATTGACCGCCTAGATGTGGACGATCCCGAGATTACCAAAAGCTTCAAAATTCGTCCGAATGCGGGAAACGCTCATAGCCAACTTGGAAATTCATCTGCGCAGTAATACTACCTTCAATTTCTCTGTCTCCTTTCCTACCTCTATACCTTTTAACCTCGATTATAAACACTATACCAACCACCTCCCAACCCCCCAAAGAGGAAAGTCAAAAATGTCCGACAGCAAACAATCCCTCCTCAACAACCCCACGGACCCCTCCGACCCCCCACCGGCCTACGACGACACCACCCCGATCACCACAACCGCCACGAAACGCATGTCGTCACTCCCGCGACCCCCGCCCCTCTCCCTCCCCATCCTCAACCACCTCCGCAGCCAGCGCGTCATCCTCGCCTCGGCCTCCCCGCGGCGCCGCCAGATCCTCTCGCAGTTGGGCCTGCCCAACCTAGAGATCATCCCGTCCAACACGCCGGAAGACTTACCGAAGACGATGGAACCGTTCGAGTACGTCCTGGCGACGGCGACGGAGAAGGCGCAGACGGTCTACCGGCAGGAGATCATGAACGAGGCCAAGGGGGAGCCGGGCTTGATCCTCGCGGCGGACACCATCATCGCCGACACGGCGTCGGGCCGCATCCTGGAGAAGCCCCGCTCCGAGGCCGACCACTTCGCCATGCTGAAGGCGCTGCGGGACCTCGGCGAGCACAAGGTGTACACGGCCATGTGCGCGATGGCGCCGCTCGTGAGCGCCCGCGACCCCGGGTATGCGCTGGAGACGGCGCTGGAGGAGACAAACGTCAAGTTCGATCAGGGGGTGACGGATGAGTTGCTGTGGGCGTATGTGCGCACCAGGGAGGGCGCGGATAAGGCCGGTGGGTATGGGTTGCAAGGGTTGGGGTCGATCTTAGTCGAGAGGATCGAGGGGAGCTGGGATAATGTGGTGGGGTTGCCGTTACGGTCGGTGTTGCAGTTGATGGAGAGGGTGGTGGCCAAGGCGGATGATGATGATCGCTTGTCCGGTGGGGAGGAGGATTTGTTGGAAGATGAGGAGGAGTAGGTTGGTGGAAAGGGCTATTGGTTGTTTGGACCAACCGATTTGTTGGCAATTGGAAGAGGAAAACACACATGTTCGAGATAACTACGTGACTTACTTGCCTTACTTTGACAGGGCTATACATACGGTGAATCTTGCGCTGGGCGTTAAGATAACAATAGAGAGAGAGTTACGGGTCAGGAAAAAAAGAAAATAATGGAACAATCTCAAACCAGATCAATCACATACACAAGACACTCATTTTATGCTCCAGGGTAGTAACGATTCCAGTACTGGCATCTACCAGAGGAAAAAGAAGACAGCATATACATAGGCAAAACGCCTTCAACAAAACAAACATCAAACAAGAACACCACCCGAAATTTATGCCTTCCACACCCTGCGGATAGCCTCCGTCACACCAACATCGTTCGTCTCAAACTCGTACAGACCGACGGCTGTGCCGAGCGTGAAGGCACGCAGCAACCACTTCATGAATGCGGCAGTCTTGGGCACACGGCGGACAGGGAAGTAATCAGTGATAGAGGCGCTAAAGAGCGAGGGTTAGCTTCCTGGCTGGTTAGGGCAAAGACGACAATATAACAGGAACGTACTCGAAACCGATGTGAGAGTGAACGACAATAGCGGAGCAGATGACAGCATCCATGACGGGGCTCACAGAGCCGGCGGCGAAGGGAGCAATGCAGAGAGGGACGAGGGAAGCGGAGACGAGTCTATACATAAATAATCAGCGCTATGTTCCGTTTTTGTGATCCCGGATATCCGAATCGACGCACCTCTCAAAGGTCCAGTGGTAGCTACCGTGGACGGGGTGGGAGTGAGGAATGGGAGCAGGGTCGTTCACTAGAAGTCGAGAAAGAGCCAACGTTAGAAAAGTCATGTCCTTCGAACCGTCCGTAGTCGTCATCGATGCGCTGCGGCAAATCGAAGTTTCTCTTCCATGGACCAGAAGCTCTTCAACGGCCAACAAGGCCATCTTCTCATCGCACACCGACTTCAGGCTTGGGAAAGGTTGATTGAGAAGATAACATACTGGTTCCCTGGATGGACTCTGTTTCATAGATATGTTAGCATCACCATATATTTCATGAATTCCACTCAATCGCCCCCTCCCCATGTCTATCCCCCACAAAAGCTCATCCACACCCCCGCACAATCTCTTTGGTCCGCCAACAATCACATTCAAAACTTTTTCTCGGATAAATCTCGGGCGACTCACGAGGCAGAGGAGGCAGAATCTGCTTGTTGGCAGAGGCGTGGAAGGCCACGACCTGCGACACGCCGGCGGCATTCTTAGAGGCCCAAGGGGCGCGGAAGGCCGACAAGCAGGACTGCCGGAGGAGGGGCGACTGGCGCGCGATTGAAGCCATTGTGATGATCTAGGAGGGGAGAGTCGGGTTGCAACGCAGGAGAAGGGTGAGAATCGGTGATCGCGGTTCGACAGCGCTACAGCGAGACAAGAAGTTGAAGTTGAGACACGAGGCTCAGGATGGAACCTCGGGAGTCCGATCGGGAAACGGTCATCACATTGTCGGGTCCGTGATTGGTGCGTCGCTCTCCGCCCAGCCGAAAATGGCCGACACCCGGCAATACCATCTACAGCTGGAAGATGTGCAATGATGCATGTAAGATGGGGTAAATCAGCTTATCCTGCTTTGTAACCATGTAGGCTGCTCTGACGCCTGGTACAGAATGCCCCAGCCGAGTCAGTAGAGATGCCTGGGAGTGGATACTGGGAAGGCTGTGGGAAAGAGACTGCATATATTTCTGCCTCAGGCGCAAAGGAATTCTCGTTTCCCGAAACAGCCGACGATGGGAGTTTACCTGAACTCTTGGGACACAGGTTGATTGATCATGTGCGAATCGACTGTACTCTTGTCTCGCTAATTATGAAGCAAAAAAAGAAAAACAGAACAACAATCCAGCTCCGCAAACGTAGACGCTGATAATTGACGTTGTCTTGAGGGGTAGGAAACGAAAAATAGCAAAAAGACAATGCGATGCACCCGATGGGGATTGAACCCATGACCTTCGCATTACAAGTGCGACGCTACTACCACTGAGCCACGAGTGCAAGGGTGTTTACTTTGTTTCTAAGCCTTAGTATTCATGAAGACTGTACTCTTTACTCCCCGCATTAGGTCCATCCATCGGCAACCGACAAAGCTCCAGCACGTAACTACGTCGTTATTTGGCCTTGCTTTACTACTAATGATCAAATCTGAAAATGCCTATGAGGTGGAAATTTTGTACTCTAAATTTATCTGCGACCCAGCCGTCTACCGGTTTACCTTAGTAGACAATAGTACAAATCATCCAGAATAGAAACATACATGGTAAAAGAAATAAAGGTACTGGGTGCTTGAGGATATTATACGAGAAGATGAGAATAAAACAACCAACCGGTTCAACGACCAGAACGCAGAATCTACTCGCGGGCGATCATGTCGTCACGAGCAGGGCCGGTACCGATCCACTTGACCGGGACCCCACCAAGACCGCGCTCGATGTACTCGATGTAGGCACGGGCGTTGGGAGGCAGATCCTCATACTTCTTGATGCCCATGGTCTTGGTCTTCCAGCCAGGAAGAGTAACGTACTCGACCTTGACCTTCTCCAAGATCTCGGGGTCGGCAGGCATGGTGTTCTCCGTGCGGGTACCGTCAGGAAGGATATAAGCAACACCGACCTTGATCTCGTCAAAGTCATCCAGAACATCCAACTTGGTCAAGTTAAGAGCAGTGTAGTGGTTGATGGCCTGCGAGTAGCGGCAAAGGACCATGTCAAACCAACCACAGCGACGGCGGCGACCGGTGGTGACACCAAACTCCTTACCAACACCCTGCAGCTTGTCACCAAATTCATTCAACTGCTCGCTGGGGAAGGGACCCGAGCCGACACGGGTGGTATAAGCCTTGACAACACCAATGATGGAGGTAATGCTAGTGGGGTTCAAGGACAGAGCCTGGACAGCACCACCCAAGCCGGTCGAAGAGGAGGTCACGAAGGGATAGGTTCCGTGATCCAGATCAAGCATCAGAGCGTTGGCACCCTCAACCAAAGTGTTGGAGGCCTCCTTGTATTTCTGCAGGAAGGCCAATTGGTCGACAATGTAGGGACCCAGGCGCTGGCGGTACTCCTGTCAACGGGCCGTCAGCATCATCGTCCGCACGAAGCTTCAACATCCAACGATAACAAAAGCCTACCTTGAAACGTGCAAGCTCCTCCTCAACGTCGTAATCCAATTCGCCGAAACGGGCAGTATATCCCGCATGCAGTGAACGCAGCTTGCGCTCGAAAAGAGGCTCGTCCAAGATCTCGCCGACACGGACACCGCGACGAGCAGCCTTGTCACTATAGCAAGGACCGATACCCTTACCAGTAGTGCCGACCTTGCGACCACCGAGCTTAGCCTCTTCCAGGCCATCCACAACAGAGTGCAGATCGAAGCAAACGTGAGCGCGGTCCGAGATGAAGATACGCTTTCCAGCGGTGGTCAGACCCTTAGTCTCAATAGCCGTCAGCTCCTTGAAGAAGCTGGGGACGTGCACCACAGTTCCTGCACCAATGAGGTTGACACAAGAGGGGGAGACCAGTCCGGAAGGAAGAATGTGGAAGTCATAAGTCGTAGAGCCATGAACGATAGTGTGGCCCGCGTCTAAGTGCGTCCAATGTTAGATCGTATTCCCATCGATCGCCGGTGAGCGCGTTTGCAAGGTGACAGAAAAAAACCAGTGAGAACCGCGACAAACAATGAGAATAAAAAACTTACTGTGGCCGCCAGCGGCACGGCAGCAAAGCGTAGCTTCCTGCGCGAGCATATCCGTAATCTTTCCCTTTCCTGTTTTCAATCGATCTGATGTCAGCGTGCATTCATTGCTGGCAGGGTGGATACCGCAGGAGATGCAGAAACTGGCAGCGGTGTTTTCTCTCACCTTCATCACCCCACTGGCTACCAAGAACAATTGTGACACCCATTGCGAATGTGTTGATTTTGTGATATCTGAAGATCTAAAAGCGATTGAATACTTCGATCGCTAGAACTCCTTGAATCTGCGACAAGGGACTGAGATGGAGGGAGGAACGTCTGGAGGCGGGGCACGATAGTGGGTATGCGGATGAGTCAACGGATGAATCCGGCGTCAGTTGGCCTGGCAGAAAAAAGTGATTCTGAAGAGGGATTGATTGTGGTAAGAAGTTAAAGAACACCAGAGGATTTCCAACGTATGCCAGAGGTGACTGGAGCAGCGGCGAAGAGTTCGCGACCGTCGAAGACCAAAAAGCCGAAAAAAAGAAACGGAGGGGAAGGTCTGCGGAGGGGAAGATGATATATAGCCCGGCACTCTCACTAACCTGCTGGGCGGGTCTGCCGGTGACTCCTCGATCGGTGCGTGTCCATTACCGCGGGCACCTGGTACCATACCGTACCCCAGCAACCTGTGCCGCCCGCACTCTTTCCCAGCATCATGCCCCCGTTTGCCGGTAATTTCACGTTACCGTCTCGAGCCCCCGCGGCGGGAGACCCCGCCGTATGCGGTATTTGCTGCTCGGGAGCCCAGTGCTCTCATCCTTTCCCTCTGGCTAGTCGGGGACTTCCGACCGGTATCGGGATAGAGTTAGGGCTTGGGGCTCGGGGCTGGCAAGTAGGGCCTCTGCAGATCACGAATCGTGAATGGGTGATCACCAGCAGCCCAGGAGACGAAAACAATCCAAAAACAATCTCAGAATAACATGAAACGGATCACCAAGAGCTAGGGTCAGAGTCGAAGGTTGCAATCCAAATACGCTTCCCAGGATATATCCATGGCCTTGGTAGAATATGATACACGGAATATCATCAAGTAGCTAACAATCAACATAACGCCAACGCCCTAAACCAATGCATGCATGCGTGCGACGGTCGCTGAGAGTGATGCTGAAATGTGGCCCAATACCTTATAAGTCATACGCTGCCTGTTGATCTCTATAGCATCCTCCCCCCCGAAATGACCCAATCGCGCAAGTCTCCGAGCTTGGAGATGCAGTCGTAGTGCAATTCCCGCGCTACCTCCCAGTGTTTCCAGACCCTAAGATCCTGATCCAATGCGAGCTTATACGCATTGTAACCTCCCTTTGCGCTGCCTGCCACCATGGTGTCACTGTTTGCTCCGTCTAGTCCGTCCTCTGGGTCTAGCTTGACCTTGGCCGCATCCCCAACAGCACCGATCCAATTTGGAGCCATGCCCGTCTCGGTGGCCTCCTGGCGTGCATTAAAATGCTGTAACATGCGACGATTAAAGGCGTTCCATTCAGACGAGTATACCGCCATCTCTGCGGTGTAACGCTCCCACGCTGCGCGAGATAAGCCCATCTGTGCGGAGCCCGCACTGAGAGGGGTCAGTTCAGGCACAGTCGGCCGTTTCGGCGGTCGAGGCAGGTCCAAGTCGCGAGGACGGGCGTTGCGCACCGTCGTCTTGGGGAAATTGGCACGGGATTCGAACGGCAAAGTAACATGGATGTCCTGAAGGTCTTCGATGCCACCGTTTGTGGTTTGTGCGAGAGGAACCGTCTTGCTCAAGTCCTCTAGGTTAAAGTTCTTGGCGTTCTCGTCCTTCTGCTCTTCATTTGAAACTGGCTTGGCAACTGGTACTGCCTTGTTGGTTTTCTTCGTATCATCCGATCTTTCCGTGGTCGTGGGTGGTGGCGTGTCATCAAGATCCATTGCTTCTACGCCCGCGTCCCCTGCTTTGGCTGTTTCCGGGGTAGTATTCCCGTTCAGAGTTGTTGCTATCTCGTCAGCTTCTGCCGTAACAGTAGTTGGCTTAGGAGTAGGCCGCGTCTTGGTCGCCGTCCTTTGCTTGCGGGGACTTCTCTGTCGCTGGGCAGGGGCCATCTGTGTCTGCTGAGCCCCTCCATTCTTCGGCTCGAATGACATGTTCTTGAACATCTCCGTCCATTGATCGGCAGGGAACCCAAACTGGGCGAAGGAAGTCGGCTGAGGTTTTGTTTCGGGAATAGGACCCTCATGATCGGGCGCATCAGCAGAGTGTCCTTTCCTTTCGGTGTCATCTCGAGTCGCTGATCGTCCTCGTCCATCCATATTTTGAGCAGCACCATCAAAGAAAGCAGCTCCATTCCAGTTCTCGGCAGAGAATGTGTTTCGCAGCTGCTCATGACTACTACTCTTGAAGCTTCTGTTTGGCGGGACGCCATTCTGCTCGGATTCTTGTTGTCTATGCGCCGGGAGTGGTCAATTCAAGGATCCAAGGGTCACTCAAGTGTGACACATACGAGTTCAGTGGGCTGTGAAAGCCAAAGATATTAGGCGTATCGAAGGGATTGTTTGCTGATGTGGTATCGTTCGCAGTCGACCCTGCTCACGTGTCTCGTTAGCACCCACGAATGCCATAAAAGACATCTCTCTACTAATTAACAGATTCACTCCCGCACAGTTCTAGGGAAGAGGCGAGACTCACCGGACCTGGTCTCCGGGGTCTGCTCTGTATGAAAAGCAGTGAACTTCTTGTGAGGGTGGAGCCGGCTTTTGGGGACCGCCTTAGGCTTCCGTGCCAGAAACTCTTCCTCGTCGTCCTCGTCAAGATCACTAGAACTGCTCGTGAACGAATAGTTTGTGTTCTTATCTGCCTTGAATTTCGGGCTAGCGCTACGATAACGTCCACCTTCGGGGGGAGACGGGCTGGGTGGGTTGGTCCGGGAGCGAGGTTTGGGACTTTCAGTAGAATCCCGCGTGCTCGCAGAGCGCCCAAGGTTGGCGCTGTCGAAGAATGTCCTCTCTCCTCCAGTGCTAGCATACCTGCTTCTCATTCGTTCGAATTCAGGCGTATCTGTCCGGTTAGTGGCAGTCTTCTTCGCCGTCGGTGACGGCGCAGCTCCAAAGTACGTATTCGAGGTCTGTGAGCGCTCGTTTCGACTTGTGTATGAGGAAGTGTGTGTGGCCATAGGCTCATCGCCGCCCGCGGCGTGCGGAGCGAACCCCTGCTTCTTCTTTTTGGTTTGGGCCCGTGAAGCCTCTGGGCTCTCCGAGTTATTGGATGTCCTGAAGTACTCGAAAGCGGACTTGGGCCTTGCCGACTGCGCATTTGCCTTTGTGGGTCTAGGCGTGGCTCCGTTGTATCCCGCGCGTCCGGTACGGGGGTCAAATGATGACCATCCGCCTGGCATGCCGTTTCCCTTCATATCCTGGAAGCCTCGATATGCGTCCGCCCTTGTCTGTCCCTCATCATGCGCCTTCTCCCATGGCTGTTTCGGCGCCGCACGTGCATAGCTGGCATACCGTTGGGCGCCACTCGAGGGCCCCGCATGGAAGGACTGTGGACGTGTCGTAGAATGTGGCTTCGTAGGTGCTGGCTTCGAAGAATATGTGGCGGCTTGAGGAGTGGAACTCGTCTTTCGAGGCGTACTACTCTTAGCGGGGCCATAGAATTTGCCGTACCCCGCGCGCAGTCGGTCCGTGTCATACCGCAATCGTTGTTGAGGGTCGATGAGGATCTCATGAGCCGCTTGGATGGCCTGGAACTTGGCGATGAAATCCACCTCGCGGCCAGGATTCCTATCGGGATGGTACTTCAAAGCTGTCAAAGATTAATACAGCACTCCTAGCCAGGTTGACAACAAGACCTTGTTCTCACCTAATTTTCGAAATTGCCTCTTGATATCCTCCGTCTCTGCACTGGGAGTGAGACCCAAGTCGGCGTAGTAGTCTCTCCGCACGTCTGCCTTAACCATCTTGAGAGGACGGCCGAGCCTGCGATTGTTTGCTTCTCGCCGAAGGACTGTGTGCCACTAGAATCACGCCAAGGTTTGACCGTGCCGTACACATGACCTCTCGCGGCAAGCAAAGGGCTAGATTTCGAATGGCCCTCCGAGTAAACGAGCGGCAAAGGACCGACTAGATATATAGAGGAGGAGAGGGGAGAGTGAGGAGGTTTGGCGAAAGTTTGCAAACGAGGGATCGAAGTCGAGTTCTATCGGCTCGGAGGTTGCTGAGGGGGAAATGGACAAAAACAAAGCAATCAAACCGTCGCTGATTAGCCTTAAAGGCCCTAGTTAGTTGGTGCCATGCAGGATTAGCCCAACCCTTGGAATTTATTTCAATATATGTAGCAGTACAAGAAGCAACTACCTACCTCCTGCGTCTCTAGTCCAAGGCTGGGGGGGGCAACCTCCTTGATGGGCGATTCAATGAACTCAACAAGAACTTTTTTTCCCTATCGGACAGCGCGCCGCGATAAAGCGTTCCGAGCGAACATGATCTCCCGGAGCAACAATACGATCATCCACTTCTGGCTCCACAACGACCGAATATTCGAGGTGGCTATTTTGATTAGCAAGGAAAGAACGAATGCAATGACAGAGCTAGACACAGCTATCGTCAATATAGCACAGTTGAACACTGAAGTATCTCAAAGAATAAAAAGAACGAAGGAAGAGAAGGAAGAAAGAAAGAAACCTCAAGCAAGGCAGGCGAGGAAGAAGACACGAGACGAGACAGTATTGGAGGGATTGGAGGGAAAGCAGTTCGACCTCAGCTCGTTTCAATTCCAGAGTCATACGTTGGACTTGTTGTTAAGTGAGGTATATCAGTAAAATCGATGTAGTGCATGCAACCGGAAGAGAGACAGAGACTGGATAAAAAAAGGGAGTCAAACGCTTGGACCAAAGGGACTCCGGGGTAGTAGTAGTAGTAGTAGTAGTACCTTGGGAACTCGTGGGGGCGCCCTGGGCAAAGTCAATCAATCATACACGCCTTAACTAACGTTCCCGTAGTTAGTTGAGACTTATTAAGGTTGGCTTACTTCTAGTACTCCATTTACCACCGCCAACTCATTGAAACCGGCTTCATTATTTGCTGCCCAATTTGGTATCCTGACTCGGCCTCACCTTTGCTCCACACTGACACCGAACTTTGTCGACTACCCCACTATCTATCTATCTACCTACCTACCTATCTATCTATCTATCCATCTCACTAGTATCTCTTTGTATGTCGACCAATTTTGACTCTTTTGGGTCGCACTGCGCCTTATATCCTATATCCTCCCACTCTCAGTGGAAACCATCATCCGCTGTTGCTCCTGGATGAGACTTATGACGGTCGACTTCGGCAAACACCAGAGGAATATTCCGGAAGCTATCAGGTCTAGGGTATCTCCACCTGCTACATC